ACATTCAGGCAGGTTAAATTAATTTTTAATATAAGTTTGATAGCAGCCTCCAGCGATATGTTTATAAAATGTTGGTTTGACTGTTGGACACTTGACAAACAGGACCATTGGACACTTGGCACAACTGATGATCAGTCTGCAACCACGAGCATATAAAGTTCTCATACAGATGTCAAGCCCTGGTATCCAACGGTGAAAGATATAATGTAAATTTCAGACAGGACATCCTAACCAGTGCAATTCCAATAAACAGGCACTCAAATTTTGAGGTTGCTGTGTTTTGGAAATAACTACAAAATACAGAATCAAACACAACATTGCATTATAAAACAACCTCATTTGCAGTCTGTTAGAGACCTCAACATCAAGCATACTTGGCTCATACTGAAAAAACAGTTCAGATGAAAGCTATTGTAATGTATGCATCATTGTATCATACTTAAATTGCAAAAGTACATCAAACTTAAACAGTATTACAGCATATACCATAATAAATGTTAACTGAGATTAAAGCTTCTTACTCCGAAGCAGTGCTTTAAGACAATAATACCCATTACTGAAAAGCGACGTCTTTCAAATATCTGGCAGTCCATTAAGATTTTAGAACTGTTAGTTTTCAACTCTGAAAGGATTATTTAGCCAATTAATGAAAATCTGAAGGATTCAACAGTTTGGTTAGAGCTTAAAGACAAAATTATTAATTAAGAATATATTGCCAATGAGAGTCTCCACATATCATGGACCAAGTCCCAAGGAAACATCATGGTCACATGAATCTACCCAGTATATATAAATTATTTATTGCTCATTGGTTTACATGACAAATAAATGAAATTAAACACATTCAAATACTAATGAAAACCATCAACATTATAAACCAGATCAAAACTTTATCCAGTACATCTGGTCTCAAAGAATTTCATACACTGCTTGTGTATGTGCACACTTTAAAGTTACTCCCAAAGCAGGGTTTGGGAGTAAAACAGTGCTGAGAGAGAAAGAGGTTCAATGGGTGCTTGTTTGAGCATGAAGTGTCCTTGCAGCAGCTTTTCAATGCTAGTTGCTGGAGTGTCTGCAATTCTGTGCAAGTCTTGCAAGTCTGTGCCTCCAGAATGCTCTGCCAGTGTACTGGAGAGATACCATGATGGTTGGGAAGGGAGGGCAGGGGTTGACAAATGTTGGATGTCAATGTCTGTGAATGAGGGGTGCCTTCAGCTAGAGCCCATGGATTGTGCCTTCAGTTGCAGTTTCGTTGTACAGAACACACAAACAAGGAATCACTCAGTCCCATGGCCTTTCAAACCTGTTCTGCCATTTGATAAGATCTTAACCTCAAATCTACATTTCTGTATATCCCTGAAAATCTTTCATCCCCTTGGTAATCAAAAATCCATCTACTTCTGCCTTAAAAATATTTAAAGATTCTGCATCCACTGCCTTCTGAGGAAGGGAATTCCAAAGACTCCAAACCCTCTGACAGAAATATTCTTCCTTCAATTCTGTGTGAAATAGGCATCCCCTTATTTTCAAACTATGACCTCTAATTTTAGATTCTAACACAAGTGAGGTCTTTCGGAGCAAGAAGCAAGCTAAAATCGCTAAATACCTGCTCTGCTTTTCATGATGTGTTTTCATTTGATGAGTTTAGTAAGATAGAAAGTTGAATATTAATGAGACAAGTCAAGACTTTCACAAGTTGAGCATTTATCAAGCAATAATCCCCCTTAATTGGCAATTTGTCACTGCCTAGTGAAAATCTCACCTCACCAATTGCCAAAAATGTAAAAACATGGAGTTCATGTTTCTTCATGCTCCATGCTCCTGATGTCAAGATGGATCTCACTGGGATTCTTTCCAATTCTCCCACAAATCCTGCCATAGCTCACATCGTCCACACCCCTGTAGGATTCTACCCAATGTATCTGAACACCTGAGAAACAGTTCACTTCAAAGTTCGTGTTTCAAACTGGAGCAATTCTCCATTCAAATTGAGAGTCTGACTGGCAGAGGTGATAACACCCTCTTCTGACCTTGAACCTGTGACAGTGCTGCTCCTAGGCTAAGGAAACTCATGTTGGTTTCCAATATGAAAGGGAAATGAGTGTCTGGGTAGCCAAGGAGAGGTGATGAGACAAGCTTCTGGATGAGGTCTCAAAAGGGAGCCTTCACATCCCAGGATTCAACTCTTTGTGAAGTTCCTTGAAGGATCATGACTTATTCATCTGGTCTCATCAGCATCTTCAGCATTCTCTGATTTTCTCAGCAAGTTATGAAAACTGTGCATAGCCTTGCACAAGCTTCCTATAATAACCAGCTAGCCCTAGGAACACATATAGTTTCTCTGTGTTAGTCTGGGCTCATGCCTGTACCACTTGGATTTTCTCATAGTCAGGAGTTATGCCTTCCTTGGTAACAAAGTACCCAGGGGTGGGGGAACACACATGGTGGTTCAGTGGTTAGCACTGCTGCCTCACAGCACCAGGGGCCTGGGTTCAATTCCCCTTGGGCAACTGTCTGTGTGGAGTTTGCACATTCTTCACATGTCTGCATGGGTGTCTTCCAGGTGCTCTGGTTTCCTCCCACAGTCCAAAGATGTGCAGATTAGGTGGACTGGCCATGCTAAATTGCCCATTGTGTTCAGGGATGTGTAGGTTAGGTGGGTTTTGGGGAATGGTTCTGGGTGGGATGCTGTGAGGGTCAGTGTGGACTTGTTGGCCAAAGGGCCTGTTTCCACACTGTAGGGATTCTATGGATGGATATGGATATCATACTTTTATGTAGAAATGTTGGCACTTCTCTGTTTGACTTTCAAGTTAAACTTTGACAAACAGGCTAAGATGGTGTTTAATTTTAAGAGTCTCCTCAACTATCATGCTGAAGATGAGTTTTAATGCCCAGATACAGAATATGTCTGACCCCAACACGACAAGTATGCTCAACTTCCTTACCTCCACTGGTGTATCGATCAGGTTATGAACTACCAGAAACCTAAGCTATGGAAAATGTAATTCAGGACAGATAGTGTGATCTTGGCCCAGCCACGAAAAGAGATGAAACTCCTCTGTAAAGGGAAGAGACATCAATCAAATCACACCTTTCAGTAAGATAGTCATGGGAAAACTGGTCAGTACTGGTTGGCACTCCCATTCATGTGTCAATCAGGTGAGATGCTTCTTTCTTGCCAAATTTCATTTTAGGGAAAGTCCAAATGGTCTATATTATCCGGAGTTTCTTCCTGAAGGTAACTCCCCCCAACTACCAGCCATTTTGAAGGGCCCAGTCTGGTCACAATCCAACACAGCTTCAAAGCATCTCTTGAGTGGGATGGACAACAAGGGCTAAAGCTGCTTTTAGTGGACAGTATCTCATACCTAGTACAAGATCCACATGCCCTTCTGTGCTCACAGTCACCTCCCTTTCCTCATCTTAGGAGACTAATTGTTTCCCATCATCTGGACGATGTGAAATTATGCTTCAAAGGATGGCTACTGAAGTCTCCTCGACTCTCTTCAGATATTCCCATCCTTCATTGCTTCGGTTAGGCAGTCCTTCAGCTGCCCGTCCTTTGCCAGTTTGAAGGAGGGGTCAAGAGGATGATGCAGTTCAACAACTTTGCTAGTTCCAGGGATGTGGTGATCAGTCCTCCCCATTGGCTTGCTTGTAATTACAAGATCGAGCTGTGTTGGGCTACTTCTGTCCTCTATTAGTACCTCAAGTATTTAAAAACCAAAAGAACTGCAGATGCTGTAAATCAGGAACAAAAACAAAGTTGCTGGAAAATCTCAGCAGGTCTGGCAGCATCTGTGGAGGAGAAAA